GTGCTTGTGGCCTTGGTTGACTATCTTAGCTTGCAGTTCTACAGGCAGAATTGTGTTCTTTTGATCTTACTAGATCTTTTAATGGCTTCTGAAACAGTAGACCATGAGGTGTTGATAACATGTTTATGTGACCTGGTGGTTATTCATGGCACTGCTCTTAATTGGTTCTGATCTTTTCAGCAGGGAGGTCCCACAGGGTGGTGATGGGTGAGTGCTCATCATCCCCTTGGGACCTGTCCTCCAGGGTTCCATGCTATCGTCTTTCCTGTTCGATATGAGGCCACTGGTTGAGATTATGCGGAGATTTGGAGTGAGGTACCATCAGTCTGTGGATGATATTCAGTTCTAGTTCTGTCTCTCTCTCATCTGACTGAGGCTGTACAATCTATCCTTATCCAGTGCCTGACTACAGTTGAGGGACTGGATGTTGGTGAGCCATTTAAAATTGAATCCAGAGAAAACAAGGTTAATGGCAGACTTCATGGCCTTGGGGGCATGAAGTCACACAGATTCACTGTCTTGGGGTACTCCTGAATTCTTACTGCGTGTGGATCTTCATGTTGCAGTGATAATTAGGAGAGCCTTTCACATATTCTTTCTGGTGAGAAAGCTGCAACCCTTTCTTTCAGATTTAGATCTGGCCACCATCATCTATACTTTAGTAACCTTGAAGCTAAATTACTGCAGTTTGCTCTAAGTGGGGCTTTCATTGATGACCATTCAGAGACTGCAGCTTGTGTAGAACGTGACGGCCCATCTTCTTGTGCAGGTGGATTTGCTATCAGTCCAGTGCTTCAGAGTCTGTACTGGCTGCAGATATCTTTCCAGGTACAATTCAAGGTTCTGGTTTTGACCTGTAAGCCCCTAAACAGGTACAAATATAAAGTACATTTCAGCAAATGTGCTGAAAGCATCAGTGCTCATAGCAGTCCAGTCTGTTATGTCCATAGGGTTGAGTTCTGATATATATAGACAGTGTTACCTGCTTGTTCATGTTTTCCTTGTGGATCATGTAACTTGCCTTTTTGATGGGTGAGTTGGCTGTGGCTGAGCTGGATATTTACTGTTGCAGGTCTGGTTAGCTTCTGTGATGTTTAGCTCTATCTGTTTTGTTCAGGTGAGCAATTCAGAGAGAATTGTCCTCATTTGATGATTAGCATAGTCATTACTACTGATGTAACAGTGAGGACTGGAACACCTTAGCCACTGAGGGGGCAGGGGTGAGGGGCAAAAGCAGGCCAGCCAAAGACATATTCTTGGAGAATCCTCTTTCAAGTAGGGATAAGCATTAGGGGTGTACTGACAGATTTTCTTGGCTAATACTGATAGCCGATTATTCACCAGGCATATCAGCTGATACTGATCCAATAACCGATTTATAGGAGCACAGATGAGCAGCATGGAGAGCCCTTCCAGAGACTTACCTGCAAGTGAATGGGCATGAGTGATGGGGCATGGAGGAGGGAGATTGAAGCTCCCATAGTAAGGGATGGAGTGGGGCAGGGGCTGGAGCTGAAGCTGGGGCAGGGTGTGCTGCCCAGCCGGGGCAGTGAATGGGACCCCAGGGCTGCGGTGGGGAAGAGGGATAACGCGGGTGGCTCTTCCAGAGGATCAACATCCTGGCGCTTAAAAATGGCCGTGGGGACACTTGAACTAAAGCTTGTCAAATGAGCTTTAGTTCAAGCACTGCTGCAACCACTTAAGCTCAGCAATGCTTTTAGGAGCAGAATCAAGTGGGGTGAGGGTGGATGTGGGCTGCCTGCTGCGGGCTTGGGGCTCTCTGCTCTGCTGCCTTTGCCCTGGGAACTGTGCACTGGCTGCGCCATGTCCCTTGCCTGTCCAGCAGCAGGAGGCACAACTCGCTGCCCCCACTACTGCCTGGCTGGCAGGGGGTGTGCAGCTGGCTCAGGGCTCCTGGAACAAAAGGCAGCAGGGTGGACAGCCCCAAGCCCACAGTGGGCAGTCTGTCTCTGCCCCACGGCCAAATCTGGGGAGGCACATGCCTTCCTTGGAGGTGTGTTCAGCAGTGGGGAGCTGCCTCCCCACCTCCTCCCATGCGCCCTGGATAAGCCACCTGCAGTTCCGTCCCACTCCCTGCCCCAGCCCCAGCCCCAGGGTCCCATTCACTGCCCTGGCTGGCCAGTGCTCCCACCCAGTTCCAGTCCTGGCCTCTGCCCCACTCCCTCCCTTACTGTGGGGGCCTCAGTCTGCCCCACCATGTCCCTTCCGTCCCCCATGTCCCTTCCTTTCCACACACTTAGCTGCAGGGTGCTGCTCTCCACACTGCCTGGCTATGCTGTTGGCCACGTGCATGCTGCAGTTGTGCATATGCACATACTATCCTGGGGCCTTGATCAGAAGACATATTTATCTGTACATTATCGGCTACACCAGCCAAAAAAAGCTGATAGCCAATAATGCTAATTTTCCTTTTATTGGTGCCGATCCAATATGGCACCGATATATCTGTGCACCTCTCAGCATCATTGTTGTTAATAATAGCTTTACTTACGTTAGGAATTATGCTACAGCAGCTCAACTGATGGCAGCAACTGGGATAAATTCATAATCTAAGCAAAGTTTTAATTATGAGTCATGTAACTGGGGCTGTACCATATGACTTAGGTACCAAAAGTCAGCAGCTGCTTCCTTAATTATTGTTAGTTCATTAGGATAGGTGAAGGGATGCATAGCCAGTGACTAGGGGTGCACTGATAGAGATTTTTGGGGCCAATACTGATATCTGATTTTTAAGGAGCTGTATTGGCTGATACTGATCTGATTTCTGATATGGTGTGGAGAGCTGCCTCCAGCTGATAAGCCCGTTGTGGTGGAAAGGAAGGGGGGAAGATCAAACTTCCATGCTGCGGTGAGGGAGGAAGCAGAGGCAGGGGTAGGGGCAGGCGCTGCCCAGCCACAGCAGGGCGCAGGACAGGCGCAACTTGTTGGGGGTGGGGAGGGGCGGCTCCTGCTACCACGTGCACTGGGGTTGGGGGAGGGCTTGTGCCCCCTGGATCTGGATGGGGCAAGCAGGCAAGCTGCAGCTGTGGGTTGGGCTCTTCTCATCAGGTGCTGGAATCACCCTAAATTTTGCCATGGCTCCCTCCCAGTGCTGCTGCCGTGTGCCAACCCAGTGCAGCCCTGGCTCTTCTCAGTTCAACCTCCACCTCCCCCCCCGTGCCAGGAAGAGCTGGGGCTGATCTGGGTGCGTGGCTGTGTCTGTGGTGCTGGGAGGGAGCCACCCTCCCTCTCTGTCCCATGCCCTGTGTGGGGGGGAGGTGGGAGTTGAGCAGGGAAGAGCCAGGGCTGTGCTGGGTATGTGGCGGCGCTGAGAGGGAGCTATGGTGAACTTTGGGGTGGCTGCAGCCCCCTCCATAGCTCCTGCTCTGAGCCTAGCCCCTGGCGAGAAAAGCCTGGCTCCAGCCCCCAGCTGCAGCCCATCTGCTCGCCCTGCACAGATTGGGGGCACACATCCTCTCCCTGCCATGCCTCCTGGCATGTGCACAGCGGTGGGAGCTGCCCTGCCCCACCCTGGCTGGGCAGCACCTGCCCCTACTCTCTCCCTCACTGCAAGGGGGGTTGAGTTGTCCACCCCCTCTTCTACCACAATGGACTTACCAGCTGGAGACAGCTCTCCACGCTGCTGGGCTGTGCTTGCGCGCTGCCTGAGTGCTGCACTGTGGCTGTGCACATGTGCTGGCTTTTATCAGCCAAATTATTGGCCCCGTCAGACTGATTTCTGATACAGCCAATTTTCTTTATATTGGATCATACTGATCCAATATTGGACCGATATATCAGTGCACCTTTACCAGTGACTGCACTGCTGGATAACTAGTAGGCTGGACTAACTTGGGGGAAAGAATTCTTACGGAAGAGTTGTCACAGACCTGGGAGTTTAAATACTGTTAATATAGAGTGGCACAATCCAGGGAACATTTTTTTATTGCATTTCCTAAATAGATTAGTTGTAGGTTGATTTTTCTTTTCTTCTACTGTATAATTTGCTGGTCAACTGCAAGGCTGAACAATTTTTTGCTAGACATTTTAATTTTGAAATAAAATTAAAGTAGTAACTTCCTTAATTTATACAACACGGAAATGTCACTTTCTGGTTACCTAAAAATAAAAATACAGTCAGACCCCCAGTTACACAGTTTCAAGTTAGACTGATTTGCGTATATGCGCTTTATATAACATGACAATGTTTCAATTTACACGATACCCTGCTTCACATTTACACTGTGCGGTGGAGCGGTTGTTAGTTTGGAGTCTGCTTACATAGTGTTAGCATCACTTGTCGTCTCCTCCAAGAATGTCCATCATTTTTGGTTACATTAACCCCTGCATATTTGTGAAGAAAGCCTTTGATGTTGTGCCCAAAAGAGCATGTAAGTCTATCACCCTGGCCCAGAAAATAGAAATCCTTGGTAAATTAAGAGAAGGCAGTAGTGCTGCGTCGATTGCTCACCAATACAGTTTAAGTGAACCGACTGTGCATACTGTTAAAAAAAGTGAGCAAAAAATTAGAGACTGTGTGAAAATGACAATCCCTGTGAGTTCGAGAGTGCTGTTGGTGATTAGAATTCCTCATTTAGATAAGGTTGAGAAACTCCTTAATCTTTGGATCAATGAAATGACCAATACAAAAGGAGCAGTTGTTGACGGTGTGGCAATTAAGGCTAAAGCTTTGTCTCTGTATGAACACGTAGCTGGGAGTAAAGGTTTTAATAAGGCTGTTAATTCCATTATTTTGTGTTTAAATATCCTTTTATTATGAAATAATGTTATCAAATCTTGGTCCCAGGTCCCTATCCCCCTGTTTTCCATTGAGGTAATGCCTCAAGTTACACAGTTTCAACTTACACAGTGTTTTTCAGGAATGTATCCCCCGCATAACTCAGGGTCCGACTGTATAGCTAAGGTGATAGTTGCATCAGTCTTTCTATGGGAGTATCTCTTTGTCTCATGGTTACAATAACCATTGTAAACAATTACAGCAACTGCGAGCCAATGTGCGAGAGATGGAGAAGCTTTGTTCACGGATCCGTCTGGAAGATATCCAAATTCTGCAAAGAATGATAAATCCAGTTAAGGAGGAAGCTTCATTTGCCGTAAAAGAATTTCTACTACTCCATTCAGAATCTGCAGAAGAACTTAAAAAGCAGTTTAATGAGCAGGAAGATACCACTGTAAAGCCTCCTCTAACTAGATCTACAACTGTAGGTGGAGGTAGTATAATTTCATTTTTATATGTATTTAATCTAGTTTGTATATGTGTGTGTATCTACATAAGTATGTATAAAAATGTGTTTCCAGATTTTTCTTACCAGATACTGTAGAAATAAATCAATGGGAATCTAGTTTACCAAAAATTATTCATACACAAGACACACAGTTTAATGTAACTGTGTAATATTATAATGTAATATTATAGTTTTCTCAGTACATATGAGTACAGTATTTTAAACTGAGTTGTTACCCTGCCACTGAATTTATATAGCTAGTGAATACTTTCATAAGCTACCCAAGGGAAAAAATAGTCTGATAGATTTGGATTTTAAAATAAAAGCAAAACTAACTTATAACAGGCAGTTTTGAGTATCTTAAAACAGGAGACTACCCATTGGAAGATATCTTTTGTGTAGGTTTCATGAGGGTTACATTTCCTTTTTTCTTTGTTCTGCAGTGATGATCGCCAGGGATCTGGATTTTCCGTTTTGCTCTGGAAAAATGCAGATTTTCCCTCTTAGAGGAGAAAACCATGGGAGACCATGGGTTTCCCCTTGCAGGCTGGCAGAGTTCCTGCCCCCAAGGGGCTGCCTGGGGCTAGGGTGAGTGGGATGCAGGGGGCTCCATGTGCATGTGCACACGTGCATGTGCAGCTAGGCAGCTGCTGCAGCTCCCTTCAGGTAAGTTTATGGGGGTGGGGAAGAAGGGAATGAGGCATAGGCAATGTGTTGGGGGGCAGGGCACAGGTGACATGGGGGAGCGGGGCAGCACAGGCGATGTGGCAGGGGGGCCAAGACAGGTGGGAAGGGGTTCTGTGCCTTTTGAGATTTCTGTACCCACAGCAGGACGTGGGGCTGTACACAGGCCAGACCGGCTCTGGAGGAGTTGCTTCTATGGCCCAGCAGGTGGACCCAGTGCAGCAGGGTGCGCTGCGCCACCATGGCCACCAAAGTGAGGTGCCCCCTGCTTGCTCAGCAGCACCAGAGACACAACTCTGTACAACCATGTTGCGCCTCACCTTGGGGGCTATGGGGACCTCCTCCTGCACCACGTCCCACCAGCTGGGCCATGAAGGCAGCTCTTGTCCTGTGCCCCATGGTGGGCACAGAAATCTCAGGGGGACACATGGCCCCCAGCCCCCTTGACACATTGCCTGTACCTCTGCCACCCCCCACATTGCCTGTGCCTCTCCCATGCATTGTCTATACACATACTTCCCTTTTCCTCATATACTGGGGGACTGGGGGCACTGGGTCAGGAGTGAAGGGAAGTAGCAGTTCTGGGGGACTGTGGCTTGGGAGTGAGGGGCACCATCAGGGCTGTGGGTTGGGAGTGTGGTGAACTGGCAGGGCCAGGGGCTGTGAGTCAGGAGTGAGGGGCACCGGTGGGGATGGGATTCTGTGGATTGGGAGTGAAGGGCACCGGCAGGGTTGAGGGGCCTGTAGGTCAGGAGTGAGGGGCACCGGCATGGACAGGAGCAGAGCACTGGCATATCAGAGCTGCTCAGTGCCACAAAACAGTGGGGGGCACAGCTGCAGCTGCACCGGTAAATAAAAGGGGCAGGGGGAGCTCTGATTTTCCATGATAATAAAACCAAACTCAAATGTCAAAATATATAGGTATTTAGAATTTATTTTATTATAACGATTGAGGCAGTGGTAGGCTTCCAAATTGCTTTAAAATTGTAAATATATCAATAACACATTGTGTTTAACTGATACCTATATATATATTAAAAAAAATGGAGTGCCATTTTAATTGTGGAAAAATGCAGATTTTGGGTTTGTTAATCAGAGAATTTGGGATTTTTGGTTTAATCAGAGAATTTGGGATTTTTAAACAGAGAAAACCGGGATCCCTGGTGATCACTTACTATTTTAAATGAAATAATTATTTGTGATATTAACAAAAAGGGGGTTTTGTATCATAAATTCTAGATGTGTGTCATTACTTGTTACTGAAGGAGTTGGCTAGGAAGAGCAAGGAAGAACTATCCATTTATGTAGAATGACACCAGGGTACTTTGGTTGAAAAATCAATAAAAAGAGCAGGACCATTTATCTATTTCCCATTTATTTGCTTGCTGTTTTTAATGTCCCTTGCTAGTTGTAACTCATTTTGTGCTTTTAGCCTTTCTGATTTATCTTTACATGCTTGTGCTATTTCTTCATATTCATTCTTTGTTTCTGGACAATTACCTTTTGATTTGGGAGTCATTAAAGGGGTCCTGAAACAGCCATACTGGTCTCCTGTTCTACTTGCTGTTTTTCCTGGGTTGAGATAGATGGCATTAAAACATCACCAAAACCTGTTTTATTGATAGCAGCTAGGTCTTCAGCACTACTTTTCTCCTACAGATTTCTTTTCCTACAAGATCCTACTTATCAGTTTTCTTAGTTTTATGAAGGCTGGAGTTGTTGTTCTTATTCTGTCGCTTTCATTCTTTCCTTTCCTTAGAATCATGAATTGTTGTTTTGTGAACACTTACATTCAGATTACGTTCTTCCTTCAGATTCTCAGATGGCTTATCTAGGATAGTCAGAATAAAATCTAAGATAGCTCCTGCCCTAAAAACTTCCTCTGTTTCTGAAATAAAAATGGTTTCCAAGATGTTCTAAGAACTCAGTGGACAGTCTGTGTCATGCCTTGCTGATTTCTAATTAGGCCTGGTTCTTTGGACAGTTGGTTGCTCAGAAGAATCTCATCCCCCGTGAGGATTTTTTTAACTGGGGAAAAATTGCAGTTAAAAATCAAGAAATTGATCAGAAATGTTGGGATACAGGCATAGGTATAGAAAAATATTATTGGCAGTTTCCTACAAATTGCTCAGGATTACAGAAGTTGTTCACCCTACGTACAGTGAAACACCGCCATGCAGACAACTAAATATAATTATATAGGATTTTTAAAAAAGTTTGAAAGCAGCTCTTTTGAGCTAACAGGGTATCTGTAATGTAATCTTTTCTTTTATGCTTGAAGCCTGTAGATTTGAAAGAAAATCTTAGTTGCTGATCTTACTCAAAGAAACTTTCTTATGCCCCAGTCTTTTAGCATGTTGCTTCTCATCTCCCAGAGAAGTAAAGGGTTTACATATTCAAATTGCACATATAGAGGCATGTCAGAGGAATGATATAGCTCCTTCCCCCTTTACCATCCCCCATCTCCAGTAGGAGATTAATTTAATTGCATTATAACAAATATTAACAAAAGGTGAGACTCTTCTCTCAAATTTACTAAAACCTTTTAACCAACATATTGAATTTTCTGGAGTATTAGATTTTTATCGTAAGTATAATGAGGTGGAAAGCTGCTTTGTAAAGTGTATGTAGAGGTGTTTTCTATTATTGCATTTCTGAATAGATGCTGTAGGTAAGGTTGAGGAGACACTTTCATTCTTCCCCTATCACAGGTTAGAACTTGCTCAATTGTGAATTTTTTAATGTAAATTTGTTAATGTAAATTTCTTATTTTTAGTTTCAGCCCTCAGGTGATTGTACTTCCTCTACTACCTTTTTTTTTTTGCTTTTGAAGTGGAGAGTCATCAGAAAATAATACAGTGGAACTTGCTTACAACTCTTGGGTGTAGATAAGATGTGCAAGGCTCACTGTACAACTTAAGCCCTGTGGTGGGATAGTAATCAGGGATCCTCTTCCAGAACAGTGTCTGCAGGAGATTTTGGGGGCAGGGGGATTGTACATAAGAGGATTTCCACTGTACATGGTTCTTCTTAGGACCCTTCTTTTATTTTGAATTGCCAAGGAAGAGTTTAATTTTAACAAATGTAGCCTTCATATTGTTGACAAAAGAGTGACATCATGGAATAAACTTCACGACTTTCTCCAAATATTTCCACATGTAATTATTTAGACATATGGTTATTCATAGAAGGGGAAAGGAATATCTTAGGATATGTTAGAGACAAAGGTATACTGTATTCATAACAATGATATTATAGTTGTGTTCTTGAATGATTTTGAAAGAAAATTCAGAGGCAAACTCAGGGTTTTCTTAAGAGATTTTTTTACTTCACTATGTACATATTGTTCTGCCCCTTAGCTTGACTAAACAGGTAAGGCCAAGAATTGTTAAAGTCACAGGGGCTTTTTCAATTGATTATAGGTGTCCAAGATTTGGACTTTAACATGTGAAGACTATTTTGGGATCCATGGAATAAGCTAAAGAATGGCAAAATATTATGAAAAAATCCCTTTTAATCACTTGTTAAAGATAGCACAAATAAGTATCATTTATTTTTTATTTTTATCCTCTACATCAGGGGTTCCCAAACAGTGATTCGTGTACCCCTGGAGGTACACAAGACATCTCTGGGGGTATGTGAGAGAAATTGTATAATGGTGGATTTATTTTTCATAATAATAATTGGCATTTACGAGGATACAATATAAAACGTATGCTAATAGGGGTATGTGGCAGCTGGTAAATCTGGAAGGGCGTACACAATAAGATAAAGTTTAGGAACCTCTTCTCTACACGATAGTAGCATCTAAGGAACATGGGATACAAGAAAGAAAGAGAATTTAAGAAAATCTTACTGAATAGGCTAATGGTGATATTTGTGAGCAGTAACAACATGCTCAGCAATAGCCTTTAATACAACTTAAAGTGTTAAATTGATATCTATTTTAGAACAGATATTTAAGGAAAGGACGATCTAGAGATATCGTGGTAAACAAAATATTTGATAAAACACCATATGGTTTTATCCAAGGAAGATAGTGTAAAACCAGCTTAATATCATTCTGTGATAGGATAACTGACTTCTTGGACAAGGGCAATACAGTGGATCTAATCTGGCTAGATTTAAGCAAAGCTGGAAATTAGTAGCAAATCTGGAGAAGATGGGAGGAATCCTATAATTATGAGATGGCTAAGGAACTGACTGAAAGGGAGATTACAGTCTAATAGCTCTCCTTTTGAAATACTTAATTGTAGAGAGACTATTTGTGTTCGTCAGGCCCCTGACAAACATCAGTGAAAAGGTGCAATAGGATCTGATGCAGGATTCCAACACTCATGCTTCCTAGATGTACACTGTGGGATCCTGCATTAGATCCCATTACACCATATTGCTGGTGCACAGGGAGCAAAATACTGGACATCATCAAGAAGGGAACTGAAAACAAAACAGAAAGTGTTATGCCACAATACAAATTCACAGTGCACTCGCATCTTGAATACAGTGTGCAGTTCTGGTCTTCACATCTCAAATAGGATGTAGTACAGGAGCAGGCAAAATATGGTTTGTGAGTCAGATCCGGCCCACCAGGCCATTCTACCCAGCCCATGGGGCACCTACAAAGTTTAGAAAATTAATATTTATCTGCTCC